CTTATCCCAACCCATTTCTTCCCCCTTTCAAATTCCTCCTTCAAAAAAAATAAGTAGAGAGTAGATAAGGCATCAACTATTGTAGCACCCATTGAAAAAAAAACAAAAATGGATGCGGAGTGACCACCTTTGCTTATCGGCCTCAGTTCAAAAAAACCCCATGCGTAGGTTACATAGCTGTTCCATGCGTGTTGCATCATCTAAAAAAAAGAGAGAAGCATTCAATGTTTTAAATGTGAATGAACTATTGCTGTAAAAAAAAAATTCATAAGTTGCTATTAGTCTAGGGAATGGCCATTAATTGGATTAAAAAAAATTTCCAAAAATTCAGTAAGCTGTTTCACCTAATTTTTTACAGTGTAAAAAAAATCTTTTTTTACAACTGTTTGGAATAATTTGCCTTATCTTGAAGTTAAAAAAAGCAAAACACTTTATGCAACTTTGAAGGGGTCTGTATGACATGTTAAAAAAAAACTGTCTTACAAATATAAATTCATGAAGACTGCCACTTCTATTTCATAAAAAAATTTAAGAATTTGTCCAGAAGCAAAATGTACTGGATTAAATAATTGTAAAAAAATAAAATTGGTACGTTTTGTATCTAAAGAAATTTCATGGAAGTCAAAAAAAAACAGTTCAACATTTTTTTTAGTTAAATTTATATTCAAGTAACTTAAAAAAAAAAATAACTAACAGCTGCTGTAAACACAGGTGAAAATAGAACTTATTAGGAGTTTGACTTTTAATATCTATAAGGTGTTATTCAAGTTTATGGTTTTTCCCAAAAAAAAACAAAAAACAAACTATTTTTGAAGCGAAAAAAAATTATATTATTAAAAAAAAAGCAGAGAAACAAAATATAAGCTTAGATGGCACTTTATTAAGCAACAAAAAAAATAAAGGAATACGAAAAAATTGTTATGAAAAACAAAAGAATATGTTTGTCATCACTGAGTGAAGTGAAAATTGATCTTTTTTTCCACAAATGTCACGCTTAAAAAAAATTGTCAGGTTACACAGGCAATTCATTGTTTTCTAATTATATCGCCAAAAAAAATTCTCAGAAAAACACTTCTTGAACCTCATTAGGTTTAGGAAACCTAAAAAAATATTATTAAGCTTATTATTATAATTATATATCGCAAAGCTAAAATTAAAAAAACAACTGCCAATTAATTCCACAAGAAAATAACAATAATTTCAAAATTTGTATTTAAGCTTACCCTTTTCACAAAGTTTCTTCGTTTTTTCGTGATTGGATCTGCCGGCTCCCCTCCAGTGATTCCTTTGTCATCACTGTTTGGAGAATCCTTCAAAAAAATCATTAACTTTTCTAAYTCCTTCTGCTTTTTTTCTTCTTCTTCTTTAAAAAAATTCGCTATGAATTCTTCCTTTTCTTTTTGAATTTTTTCTATTAATTAAAAAAAGTCTTCGAGAGTAGACTTCTGAGTTGCAGCAACTGAAGGTGTTTGAAAAAAAATGCTACTAACCACTTCTACAAGAATGGAGACAATCAGCCATGAGGGAAAAAAATACAAAAACTCTYAAGATTGTTTAACTTAACCSGCAAAACAAATTAAAAAAAACCATAATCTCTCACCTGGTATTTTAACAATTGGGGTTCGTGGCGCTTTCAGAGGAAAGATTTCACCGCCAGCTCCAACAAACCTCCGGTAAGCGTCGTCAAAAAAAGTTCGATCTTTCAATTCCGGAACGTAAAAAAATGCACCAAAGCACATTAAAAGAAAAGCTACAAATATTAACATTAACACATATTTTTCTCTAAGTCTAAGGCCTGATCTGTACACAGGAGTAGTGTGTCTGGTATGAGTTGGCAATAGCGCAAAAAAAAATTTTCTCCTCTAATAGGTAACCGCTGACATGTTTGCAAAAATTAAAAAAAAAGGGGAGGGGTGGAGAGAAAGCGCAGCATTAGAAATATTCCCATTCAAAAAAAAGTAAAAGAAAAAAAACTTCAGAGTTAGCTATGCTGCAATGAAAGAAAAAAAACGAAATCCCATTAGAATTCGTATGCTGCAAAAAAGGTCAATGAAACAAAAAAAAAAAAGAACCTGCTCAAATTGAAATGAAATATAAATAATGATAATTAAAAAAAGAAATAAAGCAAGGCACAATGAAGTACGGCAGAAA